ATGAGCTGGACCAGGCGCAGCGCTCGCTCAGCCACGCCAAGCAGGTACGAGGCTGAGGGGTGCAGGATGCGCCCGAATCCCCATCACAAATCCCTGTCATGCAAGATGGCATGCCTACCACCGCTGCCAAGCCAGCGACGCAAACAGCGGCCCAAGGAGCCGTCATGGGGCTGAACGCGGGTCCACCCTGTCAGTGTCATGAGCTGGACGTGTCCTCGGCTCCCCTCTGCATAACTGTTGGGCTCACGACATGGTGACAGGTGAGTGACAGGCATCCCCTGGCCCCGCTGGCAGGCAGGCAGTGAGCTCAGTGCCCAGGTGGAGGCCCTGCATGCCGAGAAGGAGGTGCTGAGGCGGTCGGTGAGCGAGAAGGAGTGCGAGCTGCTCTCCACGCGTGGCCTCATCGAGGAGAAGGAGCTGCAGCTGAGCCAGGAGGCGGACAAGGCCATGAGGGAGATACGGGAGCTACAGGGCAGGCTCCTGGAGAAGGTATGGTGCTGTGTGGAGAGCCCACTCCCCCTCTGCTCCCTGGGGCGAGATGTGTTTCGGGGGTGCTGAGCAGTTGAGGGGCTCAGCTGAGCCATCACCAATGTAGCCGGTGGGATATGACTTGCAATAATGCGATGCTTGGGTCTAATCCTGCAAAGGGGCTCTTGAGGGATATGCTGGTGATGGGGCTACGGTGATAGGGGTCCTGTGTCCCAGTTGTGCCACTCATCTGTTCCTCCCGCGCTGCAGAGCAACCAGGAGCAGAGCCTGCAGCAGAAGCTGCTGGACGAGCAGTTCGGCATCCTGCAGGAGACGGTGCGGGAGGCAGAGGACATCCTCCGTGATGCGGTGGCCAAGCTGGATGACCCGCTGCACATCCGCTGCACCAGCTCCCCAGGTATGTCCCACTCGACCATGGGGGCTGCAATCCACAGTCCCTTCTCTCTCCAAGATGGGTAACGTTGCATCTCAGCTTCCTCCAGGCGTTTTTTCATACTAAACATCACACCCAAGGAGGTTGGGGTGAGACTTCCCGGGAGTGAATTTTTAGCTCTCATCTCAGCACTGTTTTGCTCAGATTTTAGTGCTGTTCCCTGGCCAGGGCCATGAGGACCTGAGCTGTCTGGGCTTCCACTCAGTGGTGCCTTGTGGAGTCAGCACTTGTGCTCATTCAGACACTCGGCAGCCTGACTGTGCTAACGAAGGTAAATTAATTGCAGATTACCTGCTCAGCCGGGCGCAGGCAGCGCTGGAGTCCACAGATGCCCTGGAGAACGGGCACGCGCAGTACGTGGCCTCCATGGCAGGTACCTGGGGCTGGGGGCTGGGGACTGGCGGCATCGCTTGCATCTTGCTTTTATTTTTACACATCCAGCAGCCTCCAGCTGCTTCGGGGCCGCTGGCAAGTGTGCGATGCCCCGGTGATGGAGGTGCATGGCGGGTGGAGTTGGCGGGTTTCCGTACGCTCGTTCAGGGAACAACGTGCAAGCTGGAGGGGTCAATACCAACCTCTCCAAGTGCTTGTACTGACCCTTGAGTGACTTCGAGGGCGGGTTGCAGCCCCCAGGACATGGCAAGTGGTGCCCTGGGCTGGCAGCCCCTGACCACATCCTCTTGCCGGCAGATGCTGCGGGGCTGGTGGGGGCTCTGGCCCTCTTTGCACACCTGACGGCCGACACCATTGTGAACGGCAGCGCCACGTCCCACCTGGCTCCGACTGACCACGCTGACCGTGAGTGCTGTGCATAGACGCAGCAGGTGTTGGGGAGGTTTTTTGCTCATGTGGCTTTTTTTTTGGGGTGGCCATGCCAAAGCTCCCCTCTGACAGCAGCTGGGTATGGGGCAGATCTTCCCCAGGGGCAACACGGTCCCCCCGACTCCCTGTGCTCCCCTTCCCGACATTCCCTCCCCTCTGGTGCCCCTTCCTGGGCCAGGAACATCACTTTGCTCCTGGAAACTGGTTTATGCTCTTCTGCAAGAAATTTGCTGGATGCTGCTGTTGCTCAGCATCATCTCTGTGGCCGAGGGGAGGAGCAAGAGGAGGGTGGCAGGGCTGGGATGGAGGGACCCCTTGCCCAGAGAGGAGCCTGGCACCAACCCATCCTCTCCACAGGGTTGATGGAGATGTGCCGGGACTGTGGGCAGCAGAGCCTGGACTACCTGGGTGAGCTGAAGGACAAGCAGACGCTGGGGCGTGCTGAGCTGGGGGACGTGCGGCGGGCTCTGCAGAGGGTCCTGCAGCTGGCCCAGGTAGGAGATGGAGCCCAGCACACCCACCTTCCTGCCCGTGGCTGGCAGGGTGGGTTATTTACTGACATTGGTATTTACTGACATTGGTAGTTCCTAAAGGCAAAATCAAAGCAGGCAGTTAATGCAGAAGGATATTGTCACCATTTGTCAAGGTGGGATGGTTGCTCGCAGCCTTCCGGCTGCACCCTGATGGACAGCTCTTTTTAAAAAAAAAAACCACACAAAAACCAAAATCAAACCATGGCTTTCCCCCTTGTCCAGAGCTAAAATCGAAGACACTGGGTTGGAGTGAGCACTTTGGGGTGGCTTGTCCCCAGTACCCACAGGTTCTGGTGCTTTCCTTGAGTTATCTCCACTTCTGAGCTCCGAGACAGTTCCTGGCAGTGCACGGAGACAGCCACCCTCAGATCAGCTGAAGTCGTTCAGCCCAGTAACACCTGAGGAATAAATCTTCCCAACTTTCAGATGCTTCTTATTGTGAAGCCCCCATTAATCTTTTTCATTAAATGGCTATTAATTCAAAGGCTGTCAGCTCTCCAGAGCCCTCTGGAGCCCTGCCCTGCCGAAACTGCTCCTGCGATTGAGTTTGGTCACCTGGACTTGGGGCATTTCTTACCTCTGAGGTCCCTGTGCCATGCTTGCTGCAAGTTGGTGGCACATGTGCCTTCACCCTTGCAGTCTGCAGAATGCTGCTCCTGCAGCTTTGTTTATGTAGGGGGAAGAAAAGGAGTCGGATACCTTGGTTTGGGTGTATTCCTTACAAATATTCCCTTCTCTCCCTCTGCCTAAAACCTCCTGGTGGCTGCTGCCTCCTCTGGCAGGAGCTGAGGCCCAAGAGCTTAGATATCAAGCAAGAAGAGCTGGGGGACATGGTTGAGAAGGAGATGGCCTCCACCTCGGAGGCGATTGAGGATGCCGTCAGGCGGATAGAGGTGAGACAAAGCTGCAGGACAGGCCATTTTGGTGCCTTGGGACAGCAAAGAGTCCATCTCTCCTCCACCCTGTTCGCCCTCATGGCAATGTGGCATCCAACCCTTCCTCTTGTGTTTCCCAACAGGAGATGATGAGCCAGGCCAGAAACGAGAGCTCCGGTGTTAAGCTTGAAGTGAATGAGCGGTGAGTTTTGAAGGGTGGGATGTGACAGCCACGGGCAGGTTTCTGTCCTGTGCCCATGCCCTGCGGGCTGTGCTCTGCTCCAAAGCCCTGCCTGCAACCCGGTGCTGCGTTGTCCTGATGCTGAGCACAAAATTCTCTTTAGAAGGGTGGCCCTTCGTCTTGCACGTCTAATCCAATTCACAGTTGCTTTGTGGGCTGCTTAGAAGTAACCTGCAGGCTGGCTGGTCTCCAAAAAAGACCCATTTTCTAACCGAGGCCAAAGTGTTCTTCCCTGGACACAATATTGGAGGATGCTGAACACTTTTCTCTTGTTTCTCTACAGGATTCTGAACTCCTGCACGGACCTAATGAAGGTCAGTACTGCAGAAACCGAGCTGGGGCATCAAAGACTCTGCAAAACCGTAACTTTCCACCATCAGCAGCATTGGTCCTTCTCTGTAAAATCCCCATCAAACACCAAAACCTGTTCTTCTTCATTCTAGGCTATTAGACTTCTTGTAATGACATCTACAAACCTACAGAAGGAGATAGTAGAAAGTGGCCGGGTAAGTCCTCCCCTACACTCATCTCTCTGCGCTGACATGAAATATGGGAGACTTTCCCACAATTTGCAGAACCGCGCTGAATTTCAGAGTTTCCCGTGTTCATGGTGCTCTGGCAGTCCCACTGGCTGCAGACAGGCTGCTCAGCCCCGTGCTCTCTGCACACATCGCTGTCGTCTTTGCAAAGCCTTGTCCATCTAAAGACGATGGCCCAAGCTTGTGTGTTTTAAACCCAGCCCAAATTCACAGGCTTGGGGCTCCGAAGCTAGTTTTCTTGATACCTACTTCAGCATGCCAGTAAGAGCGGCCTGAAGGGCACAGAAATGCTGCCAATCCCTTGATTTATGGCTTTGTATATGAATTTATATATTGTTATATTTTATATGGATATTTTCTATGGATTGCTATGTTGTTGTACATGAGAAACAAGTTAATCCAGGCCATAATATTCGTATAACAACAGGGGGCAGCAACAACTCAGGAGTTTTACGCCAAGAACTCGCGCTGGACTGAAGGGCTGATCTCTGCCTCCAAGGCGGTGGGCTGGGGAGCCACCCAACTCGTGTAGGTACCCCCGGGACCTCTCCCACGGCTGCTGTGGGAGGCTTCGCTCCGGGCACGGCTCCGTGTGCTGCGCCCAGGGCCAACCCATGCTTCGCCATCGCCCGATAACCCAAACTGTCCCTCTGCCGAGTCTGCATGGAGCATTACTGCTAATTCCTTAGAGAGCATCGTAGCCTGGGTTGGACCACACGGTCACTGAAATAGGGACTGCGAGTTCCTCCCTGTTTGCAAAGTGTGAAAGTTGCTGCAATCAAATATTCCGTGTCCTGGTTCCTGCTCAGATGGTCGGGGACAGGGTGGTTGGGATTGGGGCAGGGTATCCCTGTGCCAGTGCAGGAAATGTGGGGAATTTTTTTTGGACAGCGTTTTAAAAATCTCATCCATCTCTTTACAGAAACATAATCCTACCTCCGTTGATATTTTATACCTGTCCAAAACTTCTGGATCTGGGCTTTGAGTAATTGCTTTGTAAATGAGCTTTAAATAATTACAGGCAAAGCTGCTGGTTCAAAGTGTGATGCTGATTTCTAAGGGTGTAGTAGGAGACAAATAATCTGCACTTGCTTCGTAGTGCACGGCAAGTATCTCTAATACGATCTCCCTTCTGACCTGTAACACAGGGAGTCGGCAGACAGAGTTGTCCTGCATATGGGCAAATACGAAGAATTGATCGTCTGCTCCCATGAAATCGCCGCCAGCACGGCCCAGCTGGTGGCTGCCTCCAAGGTGGGTATCCCAGCAAGATCATCTGCATGCGGCTCATCAAGTGCTAAGTCATTTTGTTCCCACCGTGTTGTCCCACAGATGTTTTCGGGCAGTGGTGTGTGGCCGTCCTGTCTGTTAGTCCTGCACCCTCCTCCCGGAGCAGGGAGGAAGGAAAGCTCTTACTATTTTCAAGTCAGTCTGTGATTTTAATCCATGTGTCCCACACTTAGCAGGGCTTGCCTTGGAAATGAAGATGTGTAAAACCTCCCATCTTCCTCCTATCAAGCTGATTATGTAAAGAAAATGTTAATAACTAACGAGAAACCCCAAATAAGGAATGCAGGAGCCAGCATTGGGAATGATGGATTTTGGTCCTTGCAACCTTTCCTCTTGGTGTGGGCAAAAGCGATGGGTAGAGGTTTCAATGAGCAAACAGGGATGTAGATTGGGGAGAGGAGGACCCATACTGCTTTTTACAGCAGATGGTTTTAAAATTAAGACCATTGTTAAAAAAAACCCAAAAGAGCTCTGTCTTCACTGATGCAGCTTCTCCGTATGTGCTTGGCTCAGGTGGGAGCAGAGCTGGTTTGGTGTCCTGGGGCTGAAGGGCCTTGCAGGGGTCACCTTGTCTGTCCGTGATGGGAACATCAAGAATAAACGTGTCCATCCGTCCTTTCCACCCCCAGGTTTTCACATCCAAGGACCATTCTGACATGGGTGCTTGGTGTCTCTGCTCTACCACAGAACATGGCTGCCTGGGGGCTCCCCCCGAGCCGGCGAGCACCCGTGCGGAGGTGCCACGACGGCGACCCACAGCCATCCCTGTGCTATTTGCAGGTCAAAGCCGAGAAGAGCAGCAGGAACCTGGGCAGGCTCCAAGAGTGCTCACGCAACGTCAATGAGATGGCAGCCAACGTGGTGGCTTCCACCAAGTCAGGACAAGAGCAGATTGAGGAGAAAGGTGAGGTGGTTTTTTTTTTTTTGGCAAGGAAAGGGGATAAAAAAAAACCCACCCCAAACACCCCACATCCCTTTCTGGCCTGGCGAACACCCCAAGGTGTGTGGCCAACTCCACTTTTGGCATGTGAGGGTCTTCTGCAAGGGGTGCGCTCAGCGAGGACCCCTGCTTTTTTCCACAGACACCATGGACTTTTCGGGCATGTCCCTCATCAAGCTGAAGAAGGAAGAGATGGAAACGCAGGTACGGCCGTGAAGGTGGATCCGGTGCTGCTGGCCTTGAGCCAGGCTGAGGTCCTGATCCAGACCCGCACATGGCTCGGGGGGGGGTGTCCCATTCTTCTGCCCCCCTCTCCTCAGCGTGGTGCCGGGGATGGTGGGGATCGCACCCTGGGGGTGCGCAGGGCCCTGGATGGCTGTTTGGGTGCAGGTGAAGGTGCTGGAGCTGGAGAAGCGGCTGGGGGGGGCGGGGGGGGGCCCCGGGGGGGCGAGGGAGCAGC